GGGGCCGTGGAGGCATATATAGAGGGTGCAATGGCGGTCGAGAAGGTTCCTGGACCGAGCTCGTGTGTCGTGTGTTCTGGAAGGTTCAGGCAGGGGATTCCGTTGCATCCGAACCGTTGATTGGAGCAGGACAGCGAGTCAGGCGGCTGCCGGTTGGTTCAAAAACTTGGCCGCCACGGAAAATGGGAAGTCTTTTCTGGTAAAAGAATTGGCGCCCACGGAATGGACGAGCCCATATATCTTTTTGGGCCGCAGCCCAGGGTAGTTGAAAGAAAGACCGCCACTTCCGACGCAGAAAGACAACCACTTGGCCACGCCGCGTGCTCTTCTGTTGGTCCCGTGACCAGAAATGCTTCTGTGGATACAGGATCCACCAAAACTCAGTGCATACTCCTTTCCGATGGTGGACACGTGGAGAGCATGCAGATCCTACGTTCCGTTCGTTGCCAAGCGTCTCTCCACATTGTGCCGTCGTGCACTCGTACATCGGCTGACGTCATAGCGCAAGCCGAGCGGGGGAGTTCCTGAAACGCTACACACGTACACGTGTCAGACGCAGTATGCACGGACTCTCAATGGATGCGGTATGCACCAGATTTTTTTTGCGGCGAATGGACACAAAGTGCAGAGCCCCTAGCAATTCTAGCACGAGCCCTGCCCAGCCCCAGCGGGCCAGCGTGAGCCACGGCCAGCCCAGACCCAAGCTGGCCGCTGTCAAGGAGCCCGCGGAGCGCAGCCATTGGATCCGTCTCCGAGGGGCCGGATCTGCTCGACCCCCACTCGGCCCGGGCGCTGCCGCTGCAGGCCAACACTGGGGCCAAGCCTGCGGCCTGCCTGCCCATGACGAGCGGGCGCACTGGGGAGCGGCTACCTGCCAGCGCGTCCGTCACCCGCCGCGCGCTGGGCCCTGACGGGGCTGGGACCGTCGGATGGGCCCTCGTCGGTGTCCGCAGCCTGTACGGGCCCGCGCGCGCACACCGTGCCCATCACGGGTGGTCGCGCCGCGCTGGGCTACAGGCGCAGGATGGCCTCCGTCGAGGCCTACGTGTGCCGCTCCGTGCAAGGCAGTAGCTCGTCGGGCACCACTGCCTAGCCGAGTCGGACGCCCGTGGAGCTGGAGAAGGAGAGCCACCACTCGGGCGCCCGGCCCACGTAGATCCACAGCTTGACTTCCTTCTCCGACGCATAGGCCCGCAACTCGCGCAGCTGGACACTGTCTGACTGACGTCGCGCGCCCCGTCAAATCCAGGGCGGGGATAGCTTGATCAGGACCTAGAGGACACGGATCCTGCTATTCTCCGGTCATCTTGCTCACTGCTCGGCCATCCTTCTCGCCTAGAAGCCAGAGCTCGACATGCGGGGGACTAGAGGAGAGAGAGGAGGAGGGTGAAAGCTGCCACCGCTAACTAAAGAGCGGCGATACCGGTAGGAGGAGCGATTCTTGCGGTGGTGGGTTTCGACGACGGGGAGCTGGGTCGCCCGCAGGAGCTCTTTCTTTCGAGCCAACGGGAACTTAGGCTTTAACAGCGTAGAAGAGTTTCATCCCCGTAAAACTTTTATCATTTATCTCTTTATAAATACATCGTCATGTCTGCATATTTAATGTTCATAAAGCTCTATGAAACTCACATCGACATTGGCTTAATGCCGACACGCACTCTAAGATAGTACAACTCAAGAGTCATAAAATTCAGGCTCGATAAGTAAGACAGTAAAAGTTGTAAAGGATCTTCATCGGTAGCGACAGGAACATATTTCATCTGGCACTCACACCAACCGTACGTGACAACGCCGTCACAACGGAGTCACGTCGTCAGCAGCGTTGGCAACACCAGTGCAACTACTACAACCAAACAACTCTTCTTTTCTTTTATGATTTGTGAAACTGACATTACTGTGCAACCTAATGGATGTATCGTTCATCTAACACGACCAAGTGACTAACACAAAGGAGATTCTTAGATAACGAAATAAAGTTCTCTCTTTTGATTTAACGTATCGACCAATAATGCATATATATAGGCGCATATCTAGTTCCTTCTACGGTGTATTCAAGAAGTAGACCACTGCGTTACAAATTACAATTGCTCATTCAGAGCAGCAACCAGCGGGCCTGTTAGGCTAGTCGTAAAACCGTTTGTGCTGATTTGTATGACTGATTTTTTTAAGAGAGAAAATAATATACCATACCTTATAAACCGGTTTTTAAGTGCAGCCGAACATTCCAAGCATTTTTGTCAACGGATCCAAATAGCGGGATTTAACCACGCTAAAGTCAAAATACATCGATCCCTTCTCCTGCGAAACGCGCTCGTCCTTCGCCTCGATGCGCGCTTTGATCTCATCAACAAGTGAAGGGAAGCTCTGAATCAGCTGAACGTACCCTTCCGTCAAGACCACCTTCTTGAAGTTCTTGTCCTCGACGAAGAACTCGAGGCACTTGTTCTTCAGCTCCGGGCAGCCGTGCACCTCGGCGCAGATCAGGATCGCACCCACGTTGTCCACCGACAGCATGTCACGCAGCCTCTGCGCACACACGACCTTGAGCATGTCCACCGCGTAGCGGTCCGCCGCCGCGAGCAGCGCCAGGAAAAAGTTCTCCGACGACGAGCCCTCGCCGTCGAGCTCCGCGGGCAGCGTGTCGGTGTACATGAACCGCAGCATGGCCCCGAACGTCTCCGGCTCGATGTCGTGTATCGTGACGGCGGGCGTGGTGGCTTCCGCCATGGAGCCGAGGAGCCCCGCCCTGAGCACCGGCGAGCGCGCCGCGAGAACGGCCCGGTGCGCCCGGAACGTCTCGCCGCCGACAGCGAACGCGACGTCCGAGCCGTCGCCGCTGTCAAGCAGGCGGCCGAGGCTGGTCGCGACGTCAGGCGGCGGCGCGTGGGCGCGGCGCCGAGCAGGACGATGACCCCGCACACGAACGTCACACGGCCGTCTGGCGCCGACGACGACGACTCGAGCTCCAGGTCCCTCCACCGCGCGAAGTGGCTCCACCCCCACGCGCAGAAGCCCTCCGGCGGGTGCGCGCGCACGCACCGGTTCTGGTGCACCGGCGACGCCGCGCCGTCGCCGCGCAGGAGGAAGGCGTCGAAGACGGCCGTCACGTTGGTGGCTGACTGGGTGACGAGCTCCAGGAACAGTGACAGGTAGTCGCCCCTGTCGTCTTTGTTATTGCCTCGCGGGTAGCACCTGATCCGCCAGAGGTAGCCGCCGGCGGAGAAGTTTTGGGAGTAGATGACATCGCCGATGGGGAGGTTCTTGGCTTGCGAGTAGTCGAGCTTGAGCTCGAGAAATCCGGAGCCCAACATCTTGTTGCCAAAATTTGCGTACGCAGCATTGGGTTTGTTGCACGGAGAGAGTATATATTAGGTAGTCCTACTGAGGATCAAAGTGCCCGTGAACGTTTCGGAGTTGGAACCTGTTGCATGTGCGTGATGAACTCGGAGTCTCTCTCGGACGCCCTTTTTGAAAAACACCGCCGAGGAGCTGCGTTCAGAACACTGGCGCGGTGACCACGGCCCGGTGCGCGCGGAACGTCTCGGCGCTGACCGGGAACGCGACTTCCCAACCGGCGGCGCGGTCCAGTAGGAGGTTGATCTAGGTGGACGATGACGCCGCACGTGAAGGTAACGCGGCCGTCGCCCGCCACGTAGTCCGAGTCCAGATCCAGGGCGATGTCGCCGTCATCGGGCGGGTATACGAGCACGAACGGAGCGCGTGCATGCAACGACGGTGGCGAGCCGTCCCTGGAGCCGCTTACAAGCTGCATGCACAGCACGATCATGTACGGAAAGACGTCATATCATGATGGGGGAAACAAAATATTCATGCATGTATTATAATGTATATCCACACACACACACACACACACACATAGATAGAGGACTCAACACTCTTGGAATTCACCTCTTAGTGCATTTACATCTGAACTCTTTCAGTGCATACCTCTGAAGAACTGTTTCATCTCTCTGAACTCTGAAGAGCATATCTTCAGCAGAGTAATCAGAAGTGCTAGACTTCAGTGCATTTACCTGTTATACGGATTGCAACCGCGTGATGCCTTATTCTGATGCTGCCATAACACCATCCCTGCAATCTGCATGCATACGCCTCATCACAAACAGCATTGTGCACAGCGTCCAATCTTCCTCCCTGTTTCTTTTGCTTTTGAATTGTAACAAAAAAAGCAACTCCTCTTCATTTTCAGAACTTCAACAGGTGGTGGACGCCATTTTTTGGGGCACTTACATTCCTTTCCTAATGTTCTGATTGGAGCCGATGGAATTCAGAGATTAAAGAACTTACTTTGTGACCAACCTTGTAGTCTTGCTTCCACTTTACTATCTCACAGATCATTAAGTTGCAACTGAATTTGTTCTACATCCAGTAATCACCGGCACCTTTTCACCAATAATATTCATTCTGATTGGAAGACTATTGTGTGCCAACGCCCACAAAAATCGTTTGATTTTCGGCCCAGCTCGGCCCACGCGCACAAGTGTCACATCCAAAGACTAATACACGATGCAAAGTGGATCCCGTTTCCGACAATCTTCTTGTAGTGTATAGTTTGGTATGTTGAGGCCTCAAAACGCTTGGAATTCACAAAATGTAGATGTAGAGAATTCGGATGCCTGCCAGCACTCCAGCAGCATGCAAGAATCTTCCACAACTTGCATCATTTTGACGTAGTCATTCTACAGCTTTACAGAATATATATAAGATGCATTTTTAATTTCATGCTATGATTCAGGGGCATGCAAGAAACAGTATAGAAAACTAAACTGTTTGGGGAATAAAGAGAGACAACTCCAGATATATCAAAATAACATAGCATGATTTATAATTTTGTGTGTCACGAAGCACTGAAATTAAGTAGATATACTTCATACACTTCACATAATAATGGCGATGACAGAAATTCGAGCACTTCTTCGTCATAACAATATAACAATAACATAGGGATAGATGTTTGTTCATGAATCATCATCATTCATCTATGGCTGGACTAGCCTTGCTCTGATCTCCTCTATAACTGACGGGAAGCCCTGCATCAGGCGCAAGTAGCCCTCCGTCAGCGCCACACTCCTGATGTTCTTCTCCTCCACAAAGAAGTCGATGCACCTCTTCTTCAGCTCCGGGCAGTTGTGCATCTCAGCGCAGAACAACATCGCCGCCACAGTCTCCGGCGACACACGGTCCCATAGCTTCTGCGCACACATGAGCTTCAGCCTGTCCAGCTGGTACATGTCTGCCGCCGCAAGTAGATGCTGGAGCAAGTCTATGGCCGAAGAGCTCTCAAGATCTTTGACGAGCTCTGTGTCCGAGGGCAGTGCGTCGGTGTACAGGAACCGCAGCAGGATCCGGAAAGCTGTTGGCTGGACGTCGTGCAGCGTGATGCGGTCCATCTGGGCGTCCGCCATGGAGCTGAAGAGCTGCGTCTTGAAGACCGGCGAGCGGGCGGCGAGGATGGCCCGGTGTGCGCAGAACGTCTCACCGCCGACCGAGAAGGAGACGTCTGAGCCGTCGGTGCACTCCAGCAGGTGTCCGAGATGGTCGACCAAGTCCGTGGGAGGCACCGGCACACGGTCGTTGCCGTTGAGATCTATGATTCCACATACAAATGTCACACAGCCATCGACGAGGTAACAACTCGACTCGAGCTTGCTGCGCTTCACGAACTTGTGCCACCCAATTACCGGTGTATGATCGGGGTCACCAGCAGCGATCTCGCTTGACCATTTTGCATGGGACAACGATGGTGCCCCGTCTCTTCGCATTGGAAAGGCTTGGAAGACTGCCTTCACGCCGTGTCTGGATTTGCTTGTGGTCCATGCGTAGAGAGAGAGAGGTAGTCGCCATTGTTGGACAGGTCCCCAAACGACCCACGCGGGTAGCATCTTATCGTCCAGCTGCGTCCTCCGGCCAATATGCTACCGGTGTCGACGATGTATTCGCCGATGGGCAGGTTCATGGTGCCTGAGTAATCGACTTTGAACTCAACGAAACTGGTGCCCAACATACTGGCAAAGTTGCAAAGACAGTGGTGAAGCGAGGATTCTTGGGTATTCCCACTGCCACACACACACAAAAAAAAATCTCAAATCAGTAATACTTCAATAGCACTGTGAATCAGTAAATTCTCAACAAATATTTTACGACCAAAGAGAGGGTGAATGGCAGCCGATTAAAATTCTTTGCCGAAAAGAAAGGCCTATATCCCGATTACAACCTAACATGTCTCTCATAATTGTCAAGATCACACACGTCAACTAGTGATGTGTCGATCCTAGCAACAATTAGGCATTTCTCAAAACAGTGCGGAAACAAAGCGACAATGCGTTGCTACTAATTATGAGCTCAAAAGTACTAATGAGCATGTGAAATAAATATCAAGCTCATTAGATAAAAGCATGCAAGAGCTATTGCCTATTAATAAAACAAAACAACAAGTGCAACTTCTATGCAACTACTTGGACACAAGCTGCACTCACCATTCAGCAAAGGGAAATAAATTGACGCTTAAAATCATTAGCTAATGATTGCACGAAAAACTGAATCATTGTTGCATCATTGTAGCTTGAAAAAGTCACTTCACAAAAACACTCCACTGAGGTGCTGCAAATTCAGACAACACGATGCCTAGCTGCTGAAAGGAGCTGCAAAAGAACAGAGCTTGCATGTACTGAATACATAGACTACCTGGCTGCAACTGTCGGCCTGCTGCTGCTTCGTTGATGAGAGGACAGCAAGAAGGAGCTCAACCTTGTTATTGCAGCCGCACAGCTAGTGGTGCAATGCAGTCAAAAGCTGCTATGCTGCTGCTGCTGAATGAAACTGCTGCTTGCTGAGACAGAGGAGATGACGAGCAGCTGCTGCACTGCTGCAGACCTGCGGCAAATGAAAGAAGCCAACAAGTTGCCAACTGAAAATGGAATTAGCAAAGGCCTACTGCTGCTGAAACATTGAAGTCCCAACCAGAACGAGCAGAGGAAAATCCAAGTTGTTGCTGACCATAGAGAAAACCATCCTGGTGAACTGAAACAGCGCGCACTGAACACCACAAAGATTTTCCCAAAGAAGATCAAATTAATTCGGATTGAGATGATATTTTAACCACAGTCTCGTCATATCACCTGGAAGCCATCCCAGTAGCAAGCCCTCGACAAGGCTGAAAATTTAACCATCAATTTTGGAAAAACGGAAAACCCCAGGTGAAGAACGAATTTGGGGAACTTCAAACTCGTGGTACTCAGGTGAGGGATTTGTTAGGGGAACACTCTAGCCTTGTCCACACAAGTCCTAGCACCAATTTGCCCCAAGAAATTTCACCCCAAACGCAGTCAAATCCGACGAACGAAAAAACATCAAAAATAGCTCCGAAAATCACAGAAAGAGAGAAACTTCACATTAGGAGATGGGAAGGAGTGGAGCACGAATTTGGTCCTTAGTACATCAAGATGTCAAGGCACTTCTAACTAAAGTTAAGATAGCAAAAAGTTTAAGAACAACAGTCACTCCTCTTTTTCACTGAGGCCTCCTCTTAGCACCAACAGTAGGGGACACTTAGGGTGAAAACGGATCGGATACGGACGGATACGGCTGATATTACATTTGTTTTTATATTTCTGGTCGGATTTGGATTCGAATATGGATAGTGTCAGTCATGTCAAATAGGATATAATTGGATGTTGACATCCTAAATATGCGATTTAAGTATTCGGATACGGATACGGTATCGGATGTTGAATATTCAGACTCGGATACGGATAGATTTAAACCCCTCTAAAAGGATTCGGTCTCGAATACGGTCGGAAAATATCCGTACTGTTTTCATCCATACTTACCAGGACAGTTGCCTAACCAGCCCTTACACACAGGGCCGTTGGGTATGGATTCTTGGATGTAGCCCTCTACTAAACCGAACCAATCGGTTCTTCGGTTTTCGAAGAAGTTCGGTTCTGAGAGACTAGTACGTTCTTAAAAAAAATATGGAATCAATCAAGTTTGGTATCGGTTCTTTCGGTTCGGTTCTGGGTAGAACCGAAAAACCGAACAGTACCCAAAATCCATGTAACAGCATGTTCAATAGCAAATTTTGACAGTATTTCAGCAGGATTGCATACAAAACCACAGTGACAAATATAACAGTTAAACAGAGTAACAAATACATAAATAAAGTGCTAACTTCTAAAGCAAGGCATCAGCATTAGCATTCAGCAAGAGTGCAAGACACTAATACAACACACTACTACACTATTTTCGGTTCCTCGGTTAGTTCGGTTAACCGAGGGGGGAACCGATTTTACCGAACAAATTTCGGTTCCTCGGAAATGAGAACCGAACAGGGAACCGAGACTTCGGTTCTCGATAAATTCGGTTCGGTTCTCGGTAAAATTTGCCTATGGCTACTTGGATGGCTTCAGAGCCATTTTATGGCTCAACCAAACGCAGCGCCAGCAAATGGCTCCGTCCAAGAAATCCCAGAAAGGAGCTGTATTCCGCAACGAAGCCAAAAAAAATGTGAGCCTTTTACCTGTGTGTCATTATAAAAGATGGTCGCGGCCTACGTGTCACTAAAAAGTTCGAACACACTTATATGCCATGGCACTTTACTTTTTTACCTCCCAAGCCATCCCATCCATTTTTTCATCTAACGATGTCAATCTACGTTGGAAAAAGTCCCAAATACCCTCACTTTGGATGCCACGGCTTCTGTCCGTCCGCATCTCCCCACCGCGTAGTCAACAGAGCGAGGAAATGAGGAGAGCGAGAGAGAAAGAGAGAAAGGGAGAAGGAGGAAACGAGACAGAGGGAGAGAGCAGCGATGGGGCCACGGAGAGCAGAGGGCAGCACGACGGCGGCACCGGCGAGGGAAGGCGCAGCCGCATCGGTGGCGGTCCTAGGCAGCCGGCATCGACGGCGCTCGGCTCCCAGCGCAGTGGTGGCATGATGCAAAGCAGAGGGCTGAAGAAAAAGCAGAGAGGGAGCGCGGGGAAGGTCTGGCTCAACGGCGCAGGGCGGCGACGCTTGGAGCAGTGGAGCAAGGTGAGGAGGAAGAAGAAGCAGAGGGAAGAGGCAGAGTAGAGGGGCGACAGCGACGGCCTTGGTGCCGGCAGCGACTGTCTCAGCTCTGACAAGGGAGGCAGGGACGGCGACGGGCAGCAAGACAGGGGCCGCTCTATCGTCTCCTCAGGTACGTCGCAGCCGCCGTTCACGGGGACAGGGGCGGTGCTCTGAAAGGTCCTAATATGACTAGAGGGGGGTGAATAGCCTATTTGAAATTCTACAAATCAACTAGAGCAATTTGATTAGTAAGACAAATAGCGAAATGCAAACTTGCTCTAGCTCTACGAGGATTGCAAGCCACCTATCCAACAATTCTAGTCGCAATGATTACTAGACACACAACTTGCTATGATACTACTCACTAAGAGCTCTCAATCTTGCTACACTAAAGAGCTCCACTAGATGAACTTAAATAACAAATCAAGCTCTCAATTCTAATTACACTAAAGAGCTTGTCACCACTAGTTTACAAGAATATAAAAGAGTGAGTAGGTTGATTATACCGCCTATTAGATGAATGAACCAATCACAAGATGAATATGAAATCAATCACCGAGAGAATGTCAAATGGCAAGAGACAACCGATTTTCTCCCGAGGTTCACGTGCTTGCCAACATGCTACGTCCCCGTTGTGTCGACCAACACTTGATGTTTCGACGGCTAAGAGGTGTTGCACAAACCTTGTCCCCACGATTGGACACCGCAAGAACCTACCCATAAGTGAGGTAACTCAATGACATAAGCATTCCACTAGAGTTACTTTTCGGCGCTCCGCCGGGGAAGATACAAATCCCCTCACAATCACCAGAGATGGCCACGAACAATCACCAACTCGTGTCAATCCTCCACCGCTGCACCAAGCCATCTAGGTGGTGGCAACCACCAACAGTAACAAACGAAATCCACAGCAAAACACGAATACCAAGTGCCTCTAGATGCAATCACTCAAGCAATGCACTTGGATTCTCTTCCAATCTCACAATGATGATGAATTAATGATGGAGATGAGTGGGAGAGTTTTGGCTAAGCTCACAAGGTTGCTATGTCAATGAAAATGGCCAAGAGGGTGAGTTTAAGCCGGTCATGGGGCTTAAATAGAAGCCCCCTCAAAATAGAGCCGTTGGCTCAATTATTGGGCTAACTGCGCATCGACCGGACGCTCCGGTCAGATCGACCGGACGCGCCGATCATGAATACCGGACGCATCCGGTCGGCCTATCGGACGTGTCCGGTCGCACCCAGACCGCCATGTGTCCAGTTCAAACCAACATAGCCGTTGCTGCCCATACTACCGACGACCATACGCTCACACCGGACGCAGAAACACAGATGACCGGACGCTGAGCCGCTGAGTCTGGTCGAGTCTAGTAAGCCACCAGGGCCAACCGGATGCGTCTATTAGAAACTGACCGGACACGGAGCCTCAGCGTCCGGTCGAGTACAGTAAGCACCCACGCTCGACCGGACACTGCCAGCGTTCGATCAACTGTACTGTCGAACACTGTGTTTGCTGATTCACACCGGACGTGTCCGGTGTAGCGACCGGACGTGTCTGGTCGCTGAGTTCGTCGCCAAATACCGGACGTGTCCGGTCACCATACCGGACATGTCTGGTCACTCTGTAACCAGCGCGACTAACTCTTTTTTAACTCTATCTTCTTCACCCTTGCTCAAATGTGCCAACTATGAAAGGTCTTAATGGCTAGAGCGGGGGGAATAGCCTAATAAAATTTCTACAACAACACTTAACAAAAGAATTAGATAATTATGAGGCGAAGCGAATTTTGCGCTAACCTACCAAAATGCAAGCCACCTAACACAATTCTAGTTTAGATAAAGTATATCCACACAATAGCTATATCACTACACTAAGTTAGTGTGCTCTAAAATGCTAACTAAAGAGCCACACTAACCAAACTAACAAGCTCTCACAACTAGTTACACTAAAGAGCTTGACAACTAGTTTACGGTAATGTAAAGAGTAGGCAAGAAGGTTATATCGCCG